GATAGTCCCTGGAGTGGTGCGGAACTGCAGGGCACTTCCCCTGTTCTGTCTTGGTTGGTGGGCGGGGCCGCAGTCAGACCTGATGTCTGCCCCCAGCCCACCACTGGGGCCACAGTCAGACTGGTGGGTACCTTCTCTTCCCCTCTCCTAGGGGCGGGATTCACTGTGGGGTGGTATGGCCCCTCTGGGCTACTTGCACACTGCCAGGCTTGTGGTGTTGGGGATCTGGAGTGTCAGCCGGGGTGGATCTGCAAGGTGCACAGGGGCTGGAGGGGCAGGCTCAGCTCGCTTATCTGCTTATCCTTCGGAGATCTGCTTCGGGAGGGACCCTGCGGCACTGGGAGGGAGTCAGACTCGCCGCTGGAGGGATGGATCTGCAGAAGCACAACGTTGGGTGTTTGCCCGGTACAAGGAAGTTCCCTGGCAGGAACTGGTTTTCTTTGGGATTTTGGCTGGGGGATGGGCAAGGGAGATGGCTCTGGGGAGCGCCTTTGTTCCCCACCAAGCTGAGCTCTGTCGTCGTGGGCTCAACAACTCTCCCTCCTGTTGTCCTCTAGCCTTACTGCTCTCCGAGCAGAGATATTAACTTATAACCTTCCAGATGTTAAGTCCCTCTTGCTGTTCAGAACACACTCCGTCTGGCCCCTCTGCCTTTGCAAGCCAGACTCAGGGCCTCTGCTTGGCCAGGCGGGCTGCCCCTCCCCCCTGGCTCCCTCCCGCCAGTCCTTGTAGCACGCACCGCCTCTCCGCCCTTCCTACCCTCTTCCGTGGGCCTCTCATGTGCCCTTGGCTCTGGAGACTCCGTTCTGCTAGTCTTCTGGCGGTTTTCTGGGTTCTTTAGGCAGGTGTAGGTGGAATCTGAGTGATCAGCAGGACGCGGTGAGCCCAGCGTCCTCCTATGCCGCCATCTTCCCAGGGGCCAGCGGAACATATTTGTTAAAGACCTATTTTTATGAATTTTAGTACTTCATATCCCATTTTGTCTATTTTGTTTGCTGATCTATTTGTAATAACTAAAATAGTGCCTGATAGATAGGAGATGCTTAGTAAATATTTATTATTGAATGTATAAATGAGTGCATGGAGCAGTGTTCGTAGTTAAAAAGATTTTTTTTGTCATTACATTGAAAATAAGCTGTGAGTCTCTTGAAAGATATTTTAGTATTTTGTAGCTTTGTTGTTGTAAGTTTATTATTTTCTATTCTTTTTTTTTGTTCCTAGCAAGTAACATTTAACGTTAGTATACTTGAAGGTATTGTGAGGGCTGAGACAAATACTAAGGAAACTGAATGAAGACTCCGTACAATTAGATGTTCATAGAAAGTTTTATTTTCCATTTTCTCCTGTACAAGTTAGTTGCAGGCTTCTCTGTAGTAAGTGGATGTGAGCTGCATTATACCAATATAGCTGTATAATTGGTGTGTGAACCTGTGGGATCTGGGGCATGTAATGGGTAAGCTTTTTCTGCTGAAGTGTCAAGAATGCATTTAAGTACTTCTGGATTCTTGCCAGACCCACATTACCAAGACTGTTCTTTATTTTAGATTCAAATATACAGTAGGTCTGAAGTGCTCAGGCATGCATATTGAATTTCTTTGTGAATGTACTGTAATTCAAAAGGAAACTTTTTTGAAGGAAGACAGGTCTTTACACATTACTTATGAATAACTTGCCTCAGATCTTGGATTCGTAATTGAAGGTCTGCTTCTGTAGTCTCAGGTAAAACTCATAAAGGATTCCATTATATGGGTATATATGGGTGTCTATAAATATTGAAGGGATAGTTGGATAATTTTTTTTTCTCTTATTCTATTTCCTAGTATTTTGACAGATGAAAATTATGTACGATATGGCATTGATGCACGCACAAAGATGCTGATAATCCATAAAAAGTATTTTCCAATGGCACCATTCACATACTCATTTCTACTTTTATCTTAGTGGTAATTTATGTAAAGAATATTTTTGTTGTGGGGGTGCCTGGGTGGCTCAGTCGGTTAAACCTCCAACTTCAGCTCAGGTCATGACCTCACGATTTGTGGGTTTGAGCACCATGTCGGGGCTGACTGACAGCTTGGAGCCTGGAGCCTGCTTCGGATTCTGTGTTTCCCTCTCTCTTTGCCCCTCCTCTGCTCTCACTCTGTCTGTTTGTTTCTCTGAAAAATAAACATTAAAAAATATTTTTTTGTTAAAGAAGGTTCATTAAGCTATTTGTAAATTAAGTAAGTCCTATGACTTGTGTTGGACGCATTTCAAAACTTTAGAATTTTTTAAAATTTATTTTTGAGAGAGAGCTAGTAAGAGAGGGCAGGGGAAGGGCAGAGAGAGAGAGAGAGAGAGAGAGAGAGAGAGAGAGAATCCAAAGCAGGCTCCACTCTATCAGCACAGACCCCCATGTCAGGCTGGAACTCACAAACTGTGAGATTCGTGACCTGAGCCAGAGTTGAGCGCTGAATGAACTGAGCCATCCAGGCACCCCAAAACTTTAGAATTTTTTAAAAGTTGTCTTGCTCTAAAAAAAAATCCCCTTCCATGGTGATTTTTTTTTCTTTTGACTATACTTTCTCACCTAATAATGCCTCTTACTGGATTTGGCAACCTGCAGAGGAGGTTGTTGTTTTGCTAGGCAATGATTAGGTTTCCCATTTCCTGTTACAAAGTACCTTTCAAGTTCTAATAGTAATGTATTGTATTTTCCATATATAACTAATGCCTCAACATGAATATTTTGTAACTCCTCTTTACATAATATTGGAGGTTTTGATAAGGAAGATTGGGTTATTTTGATGCACAGAATACTTTAAAAGAAATCATGAATCTGACTTTTTTTTTTATTATTGCAGACTGGATATCTTCATATTCTCTGTTACAACTTTGGAATAGAAGCCTACAAGCAGTATAAATATGATGAAAGTTCTTTCTGGCTTAGGTAATATAAATAAAAAATTTAGGGATATCATACAGTTCAGTTAATACTTACTATATGGTACTTTGTCAGTTTAAATTATTTAAACTATTTTAAATATTTTTTAATATTAATTTAAATATTAATTTAATTAATATTAATAATTTATTAATTAATAATTATTAATTAATTAATAATTAATTTAAACTATATTAAATTATTTAAATATTCTCTGACGTTAAAAGCCAACATGCTAAATTTATTTATTCCTTTAACATGTGTTGTTTATTCTTACATGTTGCCAGTTGATAGGAAAATGTATTCTATTATTGATATAACAGAAGTGTATGTTCTTCTTTAATACCTCCTTTGTATCACCATCAAGAACATGGAATTAAAAAAAATTTTTGTTTTGGTACATATTGCTGTCTGCCAACCCCAGAGTGTAAGGTAGATGGGTGAGAATAGGATCAGGATCAGCTAAAATTGTTAGTCTTTTTTTTTTTAAAGACATGAATTAAAAAAAATTTTTTTTAATCTTTGTTTATTTTTGAGAGAGAGACAGAGTGTGAGCAGGGGAGGAGCAGAGAGAGAGGGAAACACAGAATCTGAAGCAGGCTCCAGGCCGGAGCTGTCAGCACAGAGCCCAACATGGGGCTCGAACTCCCGAACCGTGAGATCATGACCTGAGCTGAAGTCGGACGCTTAACCGACTGAGCCACCCAGGCGCCCCTAAAATTGTTAGTCTTAAGTGAATTTTGGTATTTTAATATCATTGAAATAAGTATATATTTAGCACTTACTATATGATCAGTATTATACTAATATTTATACTGTTGTGTTGAATCTGAAAATATTAAGGGAGTAGTGTAAAAATATAACAACTGTACAAGAACTCTGTCTTTGGCCAAATACCTAGGCACATCACAGGTTCTGACACATAGTAGATACTTAATAATTGCTAGTTAAATGAATTTGTGTGAAAAATGAATTTTTCTGGAGATGTCACATAAGGTGCTTTGGACATCAAAAGATTATGGAGTGAAATACATCAAATCAATTCACTGAATGTTTCTCCATTCTCAGTATAGGGTTAGTTCTGGTTATTTTGAGATATTTTCAGGGTTAGTTTGACTATGGTGAAAATTACATTTTCCATTAACAAAATAATACATATATGGATTAAGATTATAGCAATCACAGGTGTATATATCTCTAACAAAATATTTATGCAAATAACTTTTTATGTAAAAGACTTTTTAAAGTGTGAAGAGTTATCAAAGTCTATAAAGAACCATGTCTCGCAGAACAGGCTTATACAGTTATAAGAGATATACTTGCCTCAATTTAGAATGTTTCACACAAGTGGAAATCACTTTATAATTATATAATCACATTTTAATAAATTGAATTATTTCAATTATAACCAAAGGAGCTGACTAGTTTAGCATGGGTTTTATACCAGGTTTAATTTATTTTAATGTTTTTTTATTTTTGAGAGACAGAGACAGAGAGAGAGAGAGGGAGGGTGAGTGGGGGAAGGACAGAGGGGGGAGCCTGACGCATCTTGAATCCACAAACGGATCATGACCTGAGCTGAAATCTGATGCTTAACTGACTGAGCCACCCAGGCGCCTCTATCAGATTTTTACTGTATATTTATTGGCTATATTTTTAGGAATATAATTTGAACCACAGTCATATTTTCATCAAAATCTATATGATAAATTTAATAGAGAACCACTGCATTTTGGGTCTTTTGTGTTCTTGTAATTAGAATGAGATTGGAGAAAACAGGAAGAGCTTGAATTCTATCTAGTGCTAGTTATTATATATGATTTTAATCTCTGCCTGATTGTATTTTTCTCCTCTTTTGGGGATATAAAAATAACTTGGTGAAGTATTTTCAAATGCCCTGAAAAATTATATTTTAGTGTGTTGTAAAAGAGGCAAAAAATATATCAATCTTATTAACAATAGGAATTTTAGCACAATGGATAGTTTTTCTAGTATTAGATCAACTCAGTCAAAATTTGAGTCATCTATGATTTTGGTGTGAAATTGTTAATATTGTGATACCTACTTTTTATGATTATTGCACAACTTAAATATGTTGATATATGTATTGTAGAGTATTCAATAACTTGCTTGGGAAATAGAAAACTGCTTAGTAAATGGTAGCTGTTGCTGCTATCTCTAGAGGATATGTTTGCTATTTACAGCAAATGAACCCTAATGTGGCCAGTCCACTAGTTTATTCTGAAATGTATGACAGTCATATCAAATGTGGATTACTTATTGATTTCCCAGGTAAGTATATCGTAAAGACAAACACCTACATTTTCTATCATACACTGCTAATCTTTGGAGCCATTTTTCTTTGTGCTTTAATTATCCATGTGTTGACTATTGGGAGCAGTTGGTGATACAGCCGGAATAAACAGCTGCTAATTAAGCATCCTTCTCTATAAATTTTATACCAGAAGGAGGCAATGGAAAGTGAGTGTGCTTTCTACAGGCTTAAGTCTTTTGAAGTTAGTGAATATCTTAAGGTACAGGTTATATACAATTTGAAAGTACCCATTTAGTCTAAAAGGAAAAACCACAGTTTTACACAAATAAGCTATAAAAATTGCTACAATATATTAGAATTTTGTTGAAATAGAAGCCTAGAACATAAAGGGTGGTGGTGAGTATTATTTATAAAGTTCTTTTCTGTCTCTCAATTCTTGTTAACAGATCTCACTCAATTCAGGACCTTTCTCAGTTTTTGTCTCTCCCTGCCTTTTATTTTGCTATGAAAAGTTCATGAACAGCTGCTATTATTCCTGCTTTCTGCCACATTCTTTTGATCATGTCCCCTTATTAGAGGTCCACAGATTAAGGGAATCTTGCTGTAATTATGAATGAAATTTGGGAATCCTTTAGGTTACTTTACTATAGGAATCAAGGTACCCACCTCAGTGTATTCAATGACAAATTTAGTTAGGACTCTGTTCAATATAAAATTTGAGGTCTTTGAAATCAGAATGCTAGCTTTGGAAATAATATTTAAGAGTTCTTTTGTTTAATAAAATGCATTTTTTGGGGCCACCTGGCTGGCTCAGTTGGAAGAGCATATGACGCTTGATCTTGAAGTGTGGGTTCAGTCCCCATGTTGGGTGTAGAGATTATTAAAAAATAAATAAACTTTAAAAAAAAATTTCCTCCCTCCAACTCCTCCCCTTTTGTAGTTCTTGCCTATTGAGCTCCGCTCTCTGCTCCTAGCAGAAGACACGCATAAGTAGATGGGAAGAGACTATTAATAGATATAGAACTTTCTTTCTTCCACAATCTAGGGGATTTCAGTTGTCCTGGTGGAATTTAAATTTAGTGTTGATCTTTTAAAGTCCTAATAATTTGTACATATATTATGTTTAATTTGGCTTTTTATAAAAGGTGTACAGAAATTGCACTGTAACTAATTAGTATTCTAAAAGAAGCACTGTAAACCAAACAAATACAAATAAGTCTAACTCAAAAGGCTTCGTGGTTACACTGATTTACTGCAGAGATTTTACAGATATTTTTTCTCCCTGGGAGAAAAGTACTTTAATCCCAAACCTTAGTCATATTCTTTTTTTTTCAATATATGAAGTTTATTGTCAAATTGGTTTCCAAACAACACCCAGTGCTCATACCAAAAGGTGCCCTCCTCAATGCCCATCACCCACCCTCCCCTCCCTCCCACCTCCCATCAACCCTCAGTTTGTTCTCAGTTTTTAAGAGTCTCTTATGCTTTGGCTCTCTCCCACTCTAACCTCTACCTTAGTCATATTCTTAATCATGGATAATTTTTCTTTTATGTCTAGTAGTTTTTTCTAAATCATTCAACTATGTTACTTGGAGCTACTGGTTGGGGAACACTTGGGAGGCTCACTTTTTTTTCCTTTTGCTGTAAGAAGACCTATTTACTAATTGTGGCAAATTAAATATAGAGGAAAACTGTCAAAATGAAAGGGTAATACCCATGGATATAGTAACAATGTTTAAAATTTCTTTGCTGATTAAATAAAATAAGATTTCTTTGCTGATTAAAGAAGTTATATATGCTAATTATAAAAATTTAAATGTTACAAAAATATATGGTAAGTAAAAGTCCTTTGTAATCCCACACTCATAAATGTTCAGTATTAACATTTTCCAAGGTTTTAAAAAATGTTTATTCATTTATTTTTAGTGGGGAGAAGGGCAGAGAGAGAGGGAGGGAGAGAGAAAAATTCCCAAGCGGGCTCTGTGCTGAGTACAGATCCCGATGTGGAGCTTGAACTCACAAACCATGAGATCATGACCTGAGCTGAAATCAAGAGTCCAGTGCTCAACCAACTGAGCCACCAAGGTGTGCCACAAATAGTTTTTAAAAGGTTTTTTAATATGTTAAATGACAAGGAAGACATGACAATCATTGAAATGCATTTGGAGGATTTAAGGAATTGAGGAGTTTTTTCAAAATGGACTGTAAATATGGAAAATTAATGGAATGAAACCAAGCCAAAGAGTATACATGGGACAATTCTGATTTGGTGATCTCTTGTTAGAGACAGTGAGATAGATTGAGAAGATGACAGAAGACATTTGAATTGAACAAAATCATGGAGAATTGGATAAAGCCCTGAAGGTGTTCTATAAAAAATAATCTAATTGATCTTAATAAATGAAATATAAATGACCCTATTTCTTTAACCTATGGGTCAGAGATTGCTTATAAATTCCTGACGAGTTCTTTGTAGGTTAAATTGAGAGTATTTCTCAACCCTTTGTGTGAGAGCTCTGTGCTGCCCTTTCCCCTTCAGAATCCAAAGAAAGCATGCGTGATTTCTTCAGCGTTCTTCTGAGACCGTGATTACAGTTTATATTTTCTTTTTTTTAATGTTTATTTATTTTGAGAGAGAGAAAGAGAGCGAGCAGGGGAGGGGCAGAGAGAGAGAGAGAGAGAGAGAATATCCTAAGCAGGCTCCACAGCTGTAAGCGCAGAACGTGACGTG